AAAAAAAAAAAAAATCCGAAAAAAAATTGTTATGCAGAAAAATAAACTGAACAACTTTTGCCTCAGGGTCACATCGAAATTCTTTACCATAAACAATAAAGTTAAAAAATATTTTTTCTTTTTTTCTTTTTTTTAGGCCCGGCCAGGCAAGTGGCCCCGGGCCACTCTGGTAGCCTAGTAACTTACCCATTGAAAAACAAAAAAGAAGGAAAAAAAGCAACTTACCCATCAGTCAATAGCGTGGACGCCAAACAAGCCAACAGCGAAAAAATCTTCTTTCAAAAAAATATAAAAAGTAAGAAGAAGGATCCTAAAACCCCAAGGCAAGAATAAATTTTCATGCAAAATCCACCCGACCTTTTTTTGAATGGATTTTGAACTTTTCGGATTTTTCAGGGTTTGCCCTTACCCCGAAATTTTTAAGCCCCCGTTTTCTTGTCCTGATTTTATTTCGTGGTCAGGGACACCACAATAAGCTTGACAGACAAACACAAGCCCTGAGCTGAAATAAAATCAGGGCAAGAAAAGAAAATCCGGGAAAAAAAACTGGGGTGTCCCGCCCGTCGAGCGTCCTGCTGGCGGTGCTTATGACGTACACGGTTAGGAGGGGGGGGGTTGCTGAGGGACTGGGTACCAGGGTACCATTGGGAGTCTCCCGGCTTGGAATGGCCCTGGTCTGCCCTGGGTATGTCGTGGGAGTGTGATGAAAGCACTGGCGGCCAGGGTTGGGCCTGCCTATACCTCAGCCTGCAGAACCTTCAAAAAAAAAGAAAGAAAGAAAAAAAAGAAAAAAGGGAAAAAAGGGAAAAAAAAAGGAAAAAAAAGAAAAAAAAAAAGAAGAAAAAGCTTATCCCCGAACAAATGCCTATTTCCGTGCTTTGGGAGGTTAAGGGTCAGATCCCACCACCCTGGATTAGTCATTTTTCACCCTAAGATCAACGGTCGGAAATGAACAATAGGGGCTAGTGGGATCTGGCCCTAACTTTGTAGCTGAAAGGCGGGGTTAGTGGGGGCATTAAGGTCTTTGCGGATTCTCCAAGAGGGGCCTGCGTTGTTTTTGTAATATATTATATGTCCCCTGGAGGAATCAGTTGTTGGGTAGTCGTTGATGCTTAACCACAACCGGGGTTAAGGTGGATTATCACTAACAGTGTAATCAGGTAGGGGGATCTGCAGACTGTAGAGGGTTCAGCCTCCCGATGAGTCGGTGAAACGCCGACGAAACAGTTTGTCACAGCCCCTCGTCTGTTGTCCTCTTCTCCCTCTCCGCCTGCGGTTTACCGTAGTCAGTTCTGTTTGACCATATATACGTATGTTTTTTTTCGTTCGCCTGTGACCGTTGATTTCCCCGGGTTGAATCGGGGGACTGATGTTTCCACGCTTTTTTGCCGAAACAGTGCTGATGCCATGCTGTGCCAGACCAGGCCCTGATAACAGCAGACTATAACGAAGGGCTGATCAAAGGTTGATAACAGGTTAATAACAGGCTGAATATTGATTGCCACACATGCTGCTAACTGGCTGATAACAAAGCCTGATAGCTGCCTGATAACTGGCTGATAACAGGCTGATAACAGGCTGATAACAGGCTGATAACAGGCTGATAACAGGCTGATAACAAAGCCAGATAACAGGCTGTAGCAAGGTCTGATGACGGGTTGTAACGAAGCCTGATAACAGGTCTGATAGCTGGTCTGATAACAGGTCTGATAACAGGTTTGATAACAGGTCTGATGGCAACGCCTGATAACCGTCCATAACAGTCAAAAAGTTGAAAAAACATGCTGTAACAGGCTGTAACAAAGCTTGGGAACATGTTGTAACAAAGGGTTTTAAACTTTTTTTTTTTTTTTTTTTTTTTTTAAATACACACAACCTCTCGCCTCTGGGTCCTACCATTCTGGGGAGCAACAGTCCGGTTCCTATTCCCCCGGCAAGTTGAAAGTGAATATAATAATGACACTAATGACACACACCACGCTCCTCCCCATTATGGCTGACAGACCCTAGTGGACGGCATATACTGATCACTTTTCCCTTGGGAAGGATGTACCACCCCTCAGCCCTCCTGCCTAAGTTAGCTCCTCCCAATTTTCACGAATTCTTGATGCTCTCTGGGTCCTCCCACTCCTAGCTCCTTTCAATTGAGTGCAGTGAGATTCTCATGAAAGCTAGAGCTACTGGGGGGGGCTGGTGATTTTAAGAGTTTGCAGTAGCTTGTTGTGTGCCTAAAGTGCCCTGTCCCTATAGAGATGACAAATATCCCCTTTGTGAAGTGCCCTGTCCCTATAGAGTAGACAAATATCCCCTTTGTGTAACTCATGGGAAACCTCTACCCGAAACTGATCTTTTTGTATATTGCTGGTTTGTAACCTAGGCCTTTCTGTTTTAAGGACAGCCTTTTTTTTGTCCAGTACTGACTGTGAAATCGAAAGTGCTACACCCTAATCCCTAGACCACCCCTCCCTCTCCTGCTGCACTATAGGACAAAAAAAAAGGGTGTCTAGTCCTATCTCTCTCTCCTGCTGCACTATAGGACCTTGTTGATTCTGTTCGTTCTTTGCAAGATCTGCAGACAAAAAAAAGGCCTTTCTGTTTTAAGGACAGTCTTTTTTTTTCGTCCAGTCCTATAGTTGTAACAAAGGTTGATAACAGGCTGTACAAGATTGTGGCAAGGGAGCATAATCTTGAAGCACAGTGAACAGAGATCATGTGGGTGATGGACCTGACGTAAGAAGATGATGATTGGCGGTCCGCCATAGCTCTGGAGTTCTGAACACGTTATGGAAGGGGACAACGTTGTCATTTGTGGGCTTTGGTTTGATTGTGATATTTTCAGAAGGAAGTGGGAGCAGAACATCAACAACATCAACATCAACATCAACATCAACAACATCGATATCAACATCAACATCAATAGCAGCAACAGCAGCAACAACAGCAAGAGCAGGATTACCCAGATTATAACAGTGGGTGTTATCCAGATTGCCATGGGAGTTACCAGAGTGCAGAAGTTATGCAGATTGGGGTCCATTGGGTTCGTACCACAGGTGGGGTTTATCCAGATTGCAGTCCAGAGTTGATAACCGTCGGAGTTATCTAGATTGGAAGATAACAATTGGAAGATAACAGTGGGAGTTGTCGAGTGGGAGGTATCACATTCACATTGGGTTCGTACCACAGGTGGAGTTTATCCAGATTGCAGTCCAGAGTCGATAAAACAGTGGGGGAGTTATGTAGATGGGAAGATAACAGTGGGAGGTATCGAGTGGGAGGTATCACATTCACATTGGGTTCGAACCGCACGTGGAGTTTATCAAGATTGCGGTGGGACTTCTATCCAGATTTGGTAGAGACGGTTGTCCGACTTACACACCTGAGAACGTATCCAGAGTTGATAATAGTGGGGTGGGGGGGGGGTATCTGGATTGGAAGATAACAGTTGTGAGGAGGGGAGGGAGGGGGTGGGGGGTTGTAGAGTGGGAGGTGTATCACATTCATTCACATTGGGTTCGTACCACAGGTGAAGTTGGTCCAGATCAGATTGTAGAAATTGTTAACCAGAGCTGATATGATGGGTTTCTCTGCAAGATCGGGCGATGTTTGTCCTCTCGACATCAACCCGATCTTTCAGAGGATTACATTTGATATTGAAGATTGGCAGAGACGATACCATCGTGGTCGAATCGACGCCATCGGATGGAATCTAATCGCCTTTGATGGCCATTGTAGGCTCTTTGCCTGGGACAATACACAAAGGATGCTTCATTTTGTTGAGGTGCATCGCTCCGACGAGCCGGGCAACGGTGAATCAGATGACGGCAGAGGACCGAGCTCGGCAGGAGGAATTTTAGGCAAAGTCCAGCTGCTCACCCCTGCAGGTGATGAAGATCCCTTCCAGGTGTGTAAGAAAAGCAACTTCTATCTCTCTTTTTCTTCTGCTGCCTCTCTCTCTTTTTCTTCTGCTGCTCACAGACACTCCAACACACAAAGTCAGTCCAAAGGAAACGATTGAACTGCATTCACATGCTTCCTTTAGCTCGAGTTATGAGCGTCCTTTTTTTATTGAAAAGAAATCCTTTTCTCAGCTTTCTTTTACGTTATATCTGATATGTATTATGTATGCCTTTTTCTAGATGTGTAAATGATGTCCTCGTTTTCTGCTGCTCACAGACAAATCTCTTCTCAGGTTTATGCTTAACGTTATGTCTTTCTAGGTGTTTAAGTAATTTCCTCTTTTTTTTCTTTTTTTTTTTCTGCTGCTCACAGACAACAAGCCTTTTCTCAGGTTTTTTAATGGCTTCTAGAAATTGTAGGTGTGTGAACAACTTCCGCTCTTTCTGCTGCCCAAAGACAGATCTTCCCTCCATATGCCTCTCGGGTGTGTGTAACGAACTTCCACTCTTTCTCCTGCTGCTCGTAGACAAACCTTTCCTCCTCTTTCTTTGTGTCGTCCCCGTCTGTAAAGAATTTCCCATCTTTCTCCTGCTCATAGTCACACCTCTTTGCTCTGGTGCCCTCCTTCACTTTTCTCTCCCTCCTCCCCTGCTCTACCCACCCACACATTTCGTGCATTCTGGCCCGTAAGTGAGGGTGAGGGTCAACACCTCTCTCTCTCTCTCTCTCTCTCTCTCGCTCTCTCTTTCACACACACAAAGACACACACACAGACACACCTGACGAGTCGGTGAAAGTCTGACAAAACAGTCTGGCACAGTCATGGTTTCCTTTGTGGAGTTGTGTATAGCGAATATGACGACACACACACACACACACACACACACACACACACACACACACACACACACACACACACACACACACACACACACACACACACAAACGATCCGCCGCGTTCCTAGCATGTAGGAGCCACGTAGCCTGTGACATCTGTCTGCACCGCGCCATTCGATGCAGCAACTGTGACTGCTGAAATTGAATGTGGTGCTTCCACATTCCACACCCGAACCGGTCCTGTCTGGTCTGTAGGGGCGGCCACTTACCATAGGCAATAGCTGCTCCTCAACTCAAAAAATATTATGCAACCCAAACACTAACTGACCTCATGTGCCATTCTAGAGTAGTCTGTTCCAGCTGTGAGTGTTTAGAGTTCTGCGAAGTTCGTCATATACCTCTCCCCTGCCCTTTGCATGTCATGCTCTATCCTGCCCTTCACACATTTCTCTCCTGCCCCTTGCACTCCACCTCCCCCTACCCCACTCTCCTCTAGATTTCCGCCTTCTGTCCCTTTCCCTCCACCCTCCCCATTTGTGCTACTAGCAAATAGATATGAACGAGCGTTGTTAAGAGAACAGACGATATATGAAGATCTGAAGTGAAATGAACAGGAGTATGACGACGAAGGACGGACACAATGACTAAGTATAAGCTGAAGATCTGAAGTGAAATGAACAGGAGTATGAAGATCTGAAGTGAAATGCACATGAGCATACCTTCCCCTTTACTCTGCCTCCTGTTATAACGTGCAAGTGGGCCGTTAAGGCACACGGGGATGTGGGCAGCTGCCGCTTAACCACAATCAACGTGGGCAGTCTTGTATGTGCGAGGCATAGTAAAAGAGGAGCTGTTGTCCCAAAGAACACAGTTCTAAATGGTTCTATTATGATTCATGTTGCTTGCTAAAGAGGTGAAATTTTCTTTAACTGTTGGGCTGACTCAACTTGAATCTAGTCATCTGGGTGGAACAGGGGGCTGTTGTGGTGGAAATTTAATCCACACACACAAAGGCAACACATTTTAATGACCCATCCACAGAGTGAGCGGGAGTCTTTTTTTTTTTTTTTTTTTTCCCTCTCTTGTTTTCACCCTCCCTTCTCTTCCCCTCCCTGCATCTTTCTCTATCTCGCTGGTTTGGCTCTGTGAATATCTGTTTGCAGACAAAGTGGTATGTGTCTCTGCTGTACTACAGCCACAGGGCTGCCATTCGTCGAATATTTGGTAACATACTATGAAAGGTAATTTACTGACTTTTCAAGGAAAAAAATGCCGGAAACAGAGCGACGAAGAGATCTAGAGATAATGAAGCACTGACCCTTTTCTTAGTTGCTGTGATTGGTTCCAGACCGTTGATTTGCCTATTGCAGTTGATTTCACAGTTCGACAGATGGCCATAAACAGGAGTGGGAAGGCATTGGCTCTGGTTGGCGACAAGATGATTGCGGTTTTAGAGCTACAGCATCGTCACTCTGGTCGAGCTAGTGGGCAAAGTGCTCCCATTAAGTGCAGGTGGTGTCTCTCTCCTCTCTCTCTCTCTCCTGCTGCACTATATGACCTTATTGATTCTGTTTGTTCTTTGCAAGATCTGCAGACACAAATGGACTGTGAATGATATACTTATTGGTACATAGTGATGATACTGATTGTATGTACACATCCACTTCTCTCTTTCTATTTCCTGCATGGTAGTCTGCGTGTGTGTGTGTGTGTGCGTGCGTGTGGGTGGGTGGGTGGGTGTGGGTGTGGGTGTGACACATACACACACACACACACACACACACACACACACACACACACACACACACACACACACA